TTCAATCACTTCACATTCAAAGAAACACATACTAAGAACTTGATGATAAAAAAAAAAAAAACAAGGTGTTTCCTCTATGGTGTGGAACCAAAACCCCACCCCCTTAGGTACAGTTGCTATCTTTGGCCTTGTTTACACCTGGTCACTTAATATGTTTTTAGTGATCGGATATCTATCTGATTTGTTCAAATGGTTCCATTTACACTTGGCCACATAATTGTGTATGTGGAAAAGGGATACAAATCCGATCTTCAATTCCCGCGAATTTAACGGAGTACACTTCAATGAAAGCAACAAATATGCGTTGCATTGTATTCATTATCGGCCAATTTCAAAACCAAAGACCGCAATAGGAGAGAGCGTGGCATCAGCACTCGTAAAATAATTTAGTCTCACTACTTTTAATGAAGATGACTGTGTGTTGAGAATCTGCGACTCACTTTCATTTGTGGCAGATTCTCTTTGCGGAGGAAACATTTGTTCATCAAATTCCGAGAGCAGGTTACATTAATGTAACATTAATGTTACATTAATATTACATTAGTTGACCCGTCTTAAATTACATACCTAAATATCTGGTAATACTCTTCCATCTTTGCAGAAAAATATCCATCTTCATTTGTAGACATGCCGTCATTTTTTCCAATATATAAACTTGTTTAGTCCATTGAACCAAACTTGGAAAACCTTCTTCCTTCCAATGTTCTGTTATCATTTTTTTTAACTATCAATAACAATATCCTTAGTACATATCTATTTTTCTCATTGTACATTTTTTAGGCAATGCACCCAATAAACACACCACTGGATCTAGAGGTATTTCTGCCTCTAGTATCTTGTCTATTTCTTTTTTAACATTTTTCCAAAATTCTTGAATTTTTGGGCAATCCCAAAAAATATGAGTATGATCTCCTATTTAACCACATTTTCTCCAACACAGTGCTACAGATAGTTCTTTTACATATGTAGAAATCACACAAGGAGTATTGAAATATCTCATTTTTACTTTCCAGTCGATTTCTTTCCGTAATTGACTATTAATTCCTTTTTGACTACCTATGTGGTTTCAACAACCAGATGCATTAACACTTGTCCAGTTTCGTCTGGAATGCATCCCAGACCACCTCCTGAAGTGGTCTGAGTGATTGGATTTAAATCCATCTCGAAAGCGTTTTGGAGGACATTTACACAAGGTCTTTTCAAGATCGGATAGCTATGTAAAAAAATATTTATATATTTTTAAATATATAATTGTTTCATTACAATGTAAAATAAACATTTTATAAATGTTTGTTTTAGAAAATAAAACAAAAGGATCTTTCATCGTTTTTTTAAATAGTTTTTGGAATTATTTTACATAACAGTGTGTCTACCTGATCTATTTTTCATCATTCAAAACTGTAAGAATATATTTTTTATAAACTTTCCCACATGTTGGCTGCCCAGACAGTTAATAACTTAATAGGCGCCTCCATAAAGTCAAGTCGAATGATCCAAAACAAAATCAAGTTTTAGATATAATCATGAACATTTCGTGACTTATAACGCTTATTTCTCAGCAGAATTAAATCACACAAAAAATTACTTCCTTTAGCTGCTACATCAAAACCCATTTTTAGGCACAGGATTGTGGGATATCATAGCACAGTAGAAAAATACATACACATAAACTATGCTGCCATTAAAGATCTTCTAGGAGATCTCTTCATTGTTAATGCAGTTACCTAATTCGTGCCTTAATGTCTTCCTATACCTCTGCATACAATATATATTATTCAGTTTTCTGACACAGCCTTCGGTAATGGAGCAGAACTACAACGGCACAAACACTGTGAGGAAGCATTTCATCTGCTCTTCCACTAGATGGGGATGCTGTTTTAAAAGCTTGATCCTGGCCACACACGTCACTATCAATTTCAACATTTTAACACAAATTATCTGTGTCATACAATGCAACAGTCATGCATGTTCATAATGGGCATAAACATGTGACAAACACCTCAACGTCAATTTAATCTCTAAACTGCACATTATAAATGGCCAAATGTACTCGTCATTACAGGATGATGAGATGCGTCATGACACTTTAATTTATAGAAATAATTATTACATTTCCATTTGATTGAAATCTATTTGAATATTTTACCTTTTGACTGGAAATTGTGCTTGTGGTTTCATTCTGTAAGATAAATGACAGTTGGGTTGGTATTTTATTATTGGTGTTATCTAAATATTTTTGTCAGCCAAAACCCTATTTTACCCCCTGAGATTTTAAGTTAATATTTCAGTCATTCAAAGACACATTCATGGTTCTCTGATATTGTTTAATGATCACATGACATGCAGGTAATATCAAATAAAATATTTAATCTTTTTTAGTATGTCTTACTTTTATTTTAAAATGATTTATTTTAATTTTACATTGTTATGATAGAATTTATTATCAACTTTTCATCAGCTCACGAAAACCCTAAAGCTCCCTCATGAAACCCAGTTTGAGAATCTGATCTAATGCAATGACATTCATACAGATACTGCTCAGAGTCCAAATAATTTGAGCAGTAATTTAGTTATTATAGGCACATGTTGCTTTTACACAGGAAAGCACCAGGGCTTCATATTGTTTTGGCATTAGGGCACTGCATTATACTCAGTATTCTAAGACACACTAGGTGAGAATGGACTCAGCAAAGCGTTTATTTCATTGCCTGCAGCAGCTATGAAAGTGATTTGGCAAAACAGCCCCACTGTTATTTGTCATGTCAATGAAGCACACCCAAGTGAAAGGGAAAGCGATGAAGAGAGTGATGCTGACATTTACAAAAAAAAGGCTGGTGAAAAGACACAGTCAAGTTCTTTAGACCTTTTTGGCCCACTCGCAATCTCATGGTTTGTGCACAATCAGTGCTCTTAGATTAAAGGGGTCATATGATGCGATTTACATTTTTTCCTTTCTCTGAAAGCGAAACTACTTTGTTTAGTTTGGCCTTCCAAAAGAGGACACGACTAGAAATCAGTGGTTAAGTTGTATTTACAACACTGTTCCAGAACAGTTCAACCCAAATATTCAGATGTGTGCAGCGCATTTTATGGAGGACTGTTTCCTGGGAGAGTAGACTACAATGCCGGTTATTCTGACTCACAGACTGTAAGTACGTTTTCATATTTAAAGGATCTGCCACTGATGATTCAAACGCAAGTTTTGAGCAGTGTAGAGTAGCGCTTGTTGTTTGTAATTTCTCCAAACACCTCGCTTTTCAGACCGATGAGCTTTGTAAAAATCAACACGTTTCAGAAAGGCAGGGCATAGAAGAGAAACAATAATGTACAGTATGTGGAAAATAATGTTTTTTTTTAACCTTAAACCGCATAAACACATTTCATTACACCAAATACACAAAATAATGTTCTTTTTAGCAACATCATATGACCCCTTTAAAGGTGAAGTGTGTCGCAATGTTCTCCGTAACAGCCATTAAATTTTTTACATAATATATTGCAGACACGACAACAGATCCCAAACATTTACACACCACGGCTGTGACATGCTATAAAACTAATCCTAAAAATAGTTTAGTTTCATATTCTTTGTGTATGATGTCATCTCATAACACTATAGACACTTCAACGCTCTTAGGCCGTGTGTCCACCAAAGCCTTTTTAGTCAGCTGAAAACACCAGGTGCTCTGCTGAAAACGCCTAGCTGTGAGCGTTTTTGAACACTTTTGCGGTGCAGCATTTTTTCAGTTGAGACGCTTTGGTTGCTATGATACTGAATACTGGCAGAAGTAATGTGGCAGACGCATCGTGAATGAATTACTTTTGCATTATTTTTCATATCAATATTCGTAGTAGTCCGGGAATCCCATATATTACTCAGAGACCGGCAATAATAACTTCTCCTCCACTGTTGTTGAGCCTGTACAAGGAGGATGTGACAGTTGATCACAGTGGTATTTGCCCCACCCCTCCTCCACTGTGATTGGACGGCTGACTAAAAAGTGACAGTGATGAGATCTGCATTTTACCCAAAGTTGAACATTCTCTCGGCACAGAGAAAAAACCGCCCGAGCGCTCCGTGCTCAGCATGAAAAAGACGCTTGTCCTGGCATTTAAAAAAAAACGGCACTCCCATTGAAAACAACTGAAAATATATGCTAGCCTCAGGAAACTCTTTTCAATAAATAATAATGAAGAGGTGATTCAGAATTTACACTACCTTTCAAAAGTTTGGGGTTTGTAAGAATTTTTTTTTTTTTTTTTAAGAAATTAATAGTTTTATTCAGCAAGGATGCATTAAATTTATGTCAAAAGTGACCATAAAGACACTTATAAATTAATGTTACAAAAGATGCTGCTCTTTTTAAAGAACCCTGAAAAAAATGCATCATGGTTTCCACAAAAATATTAAGCAGCACAAATGTTTTCAGCATTAATAATAACAATAGTAAGAAATATTCCTTGAGCAGCAAGGAGGAATGATGATGTGACACTGAAGACGAGAGTAATGGCTGCTGAAAATTCAGCTATGCCATCACAGAAAAAATATATTCAAATAGAAATCAGTTATTTAAAATTGTAATAATGTTTCACAATATTATTTACCATTTTACTGTATTTTTGTGACTAAATAAATACAGCCTTGGTGAGCATAGGACAAATTCACTCAAAAACATTTTCAAAAATCTTACCGAATCCAAACTTTTCATATATGGACAGACTTACACATAATATGCTTACATAAATAGCATAGATTTAACTAATTATTAAGTACTTTTACAACCACACCAGTAAGCCTGTTCTTACAACAACAAAAAA